TTATTTAACTTATAGAGAATATGATTAAAATTAGGATTTAATGCTAATAAATTATAAAAATCTTCAACTATTTGTATATAATTCTTCATTAGACTTTAATGCTCTCGATGTCTACATATCATGCTTAATAATTAACTGAACACTAAAACTACTCGAATGTCTGAAGCATTTTGTCTACATGAAACCTTAAGTCACGTGTCTCTCTTCCCAATTTAACACCCAAGCCAATAATCATTTTGTACAGTACTGAAAAAAGTATTCACGATTTAAATTATCAAATGATATACGGTAATATGCTTTACAAAAAATATTACCATTATCAACCCTTATCTAAGCACGTAAGAATGTAGTTTTTTTTCCTTTTTTTTTTTTTTTTTTTTTTTTTTTAAATCTATATATCATAAATAATTTATGATTTTAAACGCAATTCAACTATGATAAATAATATTTACCGTAAAGTATACTATCAAATTTTACAGCTGTTTTCAAAAAGATGTGAAAACCGATTTCTATATACCCTATAGGGAATCAGAGAATTTGAAAATTCCAATTAGTAAAAATTAAAGAACCGATTGGAGCGGTCTTGAAAACTTTGAAAATCTTGGAAATCTTGGCGAATTTCCCGTAATATGATGATCTGCCCATTTCACATCTTTTTGAAAACAGCTATAATATCAAATATCACAAATACTTTTTTCTAGTACTGTATGTACTTCTATGATTTTAAAAATAATTATTCACAATAGATTAACTAAAATAATTATACGTAATAGCGCATTCAATCATTGCCATAAAGCACGAAATAATGCCCATAGGCGTTGCTTCAAAATCATATCTTTTTAAATAAAACTTATCTAATCCCAAAGTCAATGGGTGTCCCAAAATAACACGTACCTTAGATAACATATAAACGGTGCGGTGTCTTCTCGGATAATAAACCTATTGTTAGCTTAATTTGCATGTTCAACCCTAATTTGAAAGAATCAAACCTTCATAGACTCATATGATCTGATTCATTATTTAAAATAACATACATGGGCGTACCAGAAATAATACACAGGCAGTATTATCTTGCGTCAAATGGTAAACTAATATAGTAACAATAGATTCAGTGTTAATAAAATGATTAAATTTTAGCAAAGAAAAAGTAAACATAATTAAAGGAAAAAAATAGTTTTGCAAGTATTTTCTTTTTTTTATCAATAAATCATGGAACCACCTATAGGATTCACTTATATACTCCCAAACCAAGGCCATCGTTGGACTGGATTTTGGCATTCTGTAGAAAAAAAAAACAGGAAATAGGTACACCGCTAAGTGCAAGTATTGCATACTCGAACTTGAAGGTAAGCCTGATAGGCTTCACCAACATGTTCTCAAGTGCAATAGCTAGCCAGTTCCACAAAAGGCCGATTACCTTAAAGAAGCCTTTGAACAAACGATCCCAGAACGTAAGAGAGTTAAGCATGGTCAGGATGAAGACAATCAAGAAGAGCTCCTTTTATCTAGATCAACTATACAACCTGCTAAACAAGAAAGTATCTTAAATTGGTGTACCAGGCCTATATCTCATACTCAATATGAAAAACTTCATATGAAGTTCTTAAACGCTATCATCTATGGCAATATTCCCTTCAACATTACTGAGAATCCTTACTTTCAAAATTTTCTCCAAGAATTAGCTCTGGGTTACCAACTTCCTTCTAGAGATATGCTGCAAGAATGTATCTTGACAGCAACGTTCTCTAATTTTCTTCAAAAAAAGCTAACCAAAATATCAACCTTTACCGACACTACAATCTGCTTAGATGGCTGGACAAATGTTTCTGGAAACTCCATCTACGGATTTATGATTCTAAAGGAACATGAGAAACATATTATTAATATCATTGATTTATCTGCAAAATGATATAGAGGATTATTTATTAAAAACCAAACTATAGATATTCTTACCAGGAATGGGTTTCAAATATCATCCGCTATTGCCTGCATTACTGACAATCCCTCTGTCATAGAATCTATGAAAAATCTTTTTGAGGTATAGTACAAACGTGCTAAAATTTAAAAAGAAACTAAATTATTAGTAATTGGATACTATAACCTGCATATAGAAAGATATTAGTAAAATCTTTAAATAATAATAAAAAAAATAAAATAAAAAAATTAAATAAATAATAAATAAAATAAAAAATAAAATAAAATAATAAATAAAATAATAAATAGAACAAAGAAAAATAAGTAAAAAATCAAAAAAAAAATAACAAAATAAGTAAATTAAATTTTAAAACTTAATCATCACCTCACCTTTGTACTAACTGCATATCTATATTTTTACACATCTGCCTTAATTAAATCACTATTTTGTCGTATTTCATTTAAAAGTCCAATTAATATATATTTTTTTCATTTTTATAGAAACAATATCCGAATATCATTCCTATCCGATGCTGTCTTCATGCGTTTAACCTGATCATAAAGAATATTGCTGGTTTTACTAATATAGCTCCTATCTGCAAAAAGAATCAGAAGCTCGTAAATTTCTTCACATCTTCACATATATGGCTTCGGGTCTTAAAAAATTGGCAAAAAGAACAAGGCATTCATTATTTTTTATCTACTTTTTGCAAAACCAGGTGGTATTCTCTCGCCAAGGTCTGTTTGGGTGTGTCCATATTTGAAAGAGGTTTCCAACACTGCCTCAAGCTAAGCAAATCTGACAAAGCTAAGTACCCAAAAATCAAAGATGAAATTAAGGCAATTGTTAATGATAGGTATCATTTTGCTAGTAATGATATATTAGTAAAGGTTATTAAACCTGTCGTTGATGCGATCGGAAGGCTCGAATCAAGGGATGCAACATTGGCTGACATTTTTAAGGAACTAATTTATGTTCACTTGGAAATATCTAAACTTGACATCCCCATTCCCGGTTTTAAAACTCATTCACTTATCATTATTAACAAAAGAGCCAAAGAATTTTCTAGAGATATTTATTTTATTGCCTTGTTTCTTTCGCCAATTTACAAGAATGTAGCTATTTCAAGACACATGAATGGTGACCGCCTTCTATGCAAATACTTAAAATTAGCAAAAACCTGGAACTTTAGTAAAAATGATACTAGCTTACTTTACAAGGAATTAATTAATTATAAAAATAGTGATTCTCCCTTCAACCTTCTTCATAGTGACTTACAAAAACCTCCCTGATTATTTTGGTCAAAATTTACTGGTAATTTTCCCTTCTCTACCGATTTGCTATAAAAGTTCTCGTAATCGTTCCTCATGGAGCTGTGTGTGAGAGACTCTTTTCTTCTTTAGGTCTTATGAAAACTAAGTCAAAAAACTGCCTTTCACCTGAAACACTGTCCAAGCTTGGGCAGATCAAGAACGAACTTCAAAAAGCCTTGCAAAAAAAAAAAAGAAAAAAAAAGATCTCAGAACCTAGGCTTATCAAAGAAAATATAGATATGTTTTTTAAAGAAGAAGAAGAGCAAGATGAAATAGAACAAGAAATAGAAGAATGTAAGGAAGTTAATGAGGATATTAATGTGATCAATATTGAACACAAGAAGAATTATATTATGGATAAATTTTTTGACTTCGATGTATTTGAAAGAGATCAGAAAGCTTTTTTACTTGAAGAGGTTCATGATAATTTCACACTACAAAATGATACCAGGGAGGAATGGTCCATCGAAGATATTATCTTTCAAAGCCAATAGATATTACATGTAACAAAAAAAATAATGAATATCTTTACCTCTTTGCATATTCAAATAACTTTTATCTTAAATTATGGGTCCTTAAAAATAAAAAATATAAAGTTAGTAATATATAACGTTTGAAAAAGGTATACTTATCAAAGAGCCGACTGTATGCTGCATGTTAATCTGTTCGTTTCTAAACTATTGAAATTCTTGCAGTATTTCAATTCGAATATTGAGATCTTTTCTATCTATTTAAAAAGAATGCAGATAATTTCTAATTGTATACACGTACGTACAAACACATACACTTTTACAAAAAAAAAATCTAACCTTTGCTGACAAGATTTTACCCTTTACAATAATATTTTATGTCAAAAAACTTGAGCCCGTGAACCTAGTTTTCATTTACTTCCAAATCTTGATTTGGATATTCATCGAATGTCTGTAATTGTAAATCATGTGAAACATCTAATTTTCATAGTCGTGATTGGTTGATCATAGATTTTTCTTCATTATAGCTCTGAACGATTTGATTGGTCACTTATCAGTCATGTGATCGTAGTAGGGCATGCCCATAGGCATGCCTCAAGTCAGGGGCATGCCCATAGGGCATGCCTATTTTATTATCTGTGCTCACAATCCTACTTGATCCTGAATCACAGATCTGTTTTGGTAATACAAAAATCACAACACGTAATAAAAAATAAACAAAAGAAACACGACAAGAACCATGTAACGAAAACAAACATAAGCAAAAAAAGTAAACAACCACAGCAAACAACAACAACAACAACAAATAATAACTGCAGAAAAACAACATATTACTGTTTTTACGTGAAGCAAATAGCAAAAGAATGGGCTGCAAGAAGTTCTGCTAATATAGTAGAAGGCATGATAACAGTATTCGATGCTATCCAGAAAATAACAACAAAAATAACTGATGAAGTAATAAATACAATAGTTGAAGAAATGATGCCAGAGTATATTAGACAAAAACTTATTACAAAAGAAGAAGCTGAAATACAAGAAGAAGAACTCTATGAAGAACTACGACAATATAAATATGGTAAACTAAAGTATACAGAGCTTGCACTTATAGAAAGAGACAGTAAGGCTTTTTATGAAGCAATACAAAATGGAGAAGACCTACTGCAGAATATATTAAAAGAAGAAATAGTTGGTATTACGATACAATTAAAGATAGCAGATGGGATTAGACAGGTATTAAAAGATAAGAAAAAAAAGTTGCTGAAGTAAGGATGAAAATAGACTTAGATTGGAGCAAGAGACTCTAAGAGCAAAGAAGAAACTGACAAAAACAGTACAATGAAAAAACTCTGAAATCTTTAGTACAATAATTCAAAGATTTAGTCAAGACTACCACAACAAACCAGCTTGAGAAAAAAAAGAAAATTCAAAAAACAAGTAAAAGAAAATTGCAAGCTTTGCAAAGAGAAAAACAAGCTGCCGAAATAAAGTCAAAGTTAAAGTCAAATTGGAGCAAGAGACTCCAGAAACATAGAGAAATTTGGCAAAAGCAAAACAACCAATCAGCATTAAGAATTCTGGTCATAAACTTCAAAATATCTACTGAATTTTACTTAGCAAATCGAGAGGAAAAAAGAAGAAAATCAAGAGAAAGAAAAGAACAAAGAAACAGAAAACAAAACGTTGAAGATATTGAAGAAACAAACCTTATAAAAGAGGATCAAGAAGAGTTAAGACTAAAACTGAACTAATGACCCCAACAGAATGGTTAATCAAAGCAATATACCAAATAAGCACTAAAGATCTACAGTCTAATGACAAAACCTGAAGGAAGATAGAGAGTAACCTACTCATAAAATAGATACAATGTCTAAAGTTCTGAAGAAATATCGACTTAAAGATAATTTAAGACACATCAACATACAGACTAAGAGAAGACAAGAATTGAAAAAAGAAGAAAAAAAAAAGAATAGGCTATTAGGATTATTAGAAAAGATTTTTGTAGTAATTTTCAAGAATAGAGAGATTTTTAGCGAGATACAAGAAAATTTTTGGGAAGAAAACCAAAGATTAGAAAAAAAAAAGGAAGAAAGAAAAAGATAACAGAAGAGAATAAAAAAGATCTCTACACCCAGAATTTGAAAAGAAGAGAAATCAAGCAGACTACCCAAGACCTAGAAAAGGAAAGGCCCAGTATACTTTGAAGAAAAGAAGGTTTATAGAAGAATATTTCCAGGAAAAATCTTCAGAACGAGCTCTCAAGAAGTAAATGAAAAATATAAAGCCACGATACAGGAAGAAAGTATCAAAAAGAAGGATACTAAAAGACTTCGGAGAGCCAGATCCCAAATCAGAGAGAATAAATTAAACTGCAAGAAGAGAAAAAAGAAACGCAAATACAATCAGAAGAATTTTGACAATAACACTACTTTGAGAGATGTAATAGAATCGTTTATTTTTAGAAAATTAGATTTAGAAAATAGTTGTAAAAAGGAGGATAGTTTAGAAAGAGAAAATTGCCAATTAGATTTAGTTAAAAATTCTTTTGATTTGAAACTATCTTGCTATAGTTTTACTAGCTAGCTTGGTGTAGCCCTCCGGTACGGGCAATAGCCTTAATCGATAAGGCAGACCACACTTGGGCACCTGTAGAGGAAGCTGAGTGATGTCAGATCTATAAATTAGATAATATTAATATATTACATTAGCTTTGATCTAATAAAGATACCGGCGAGGCTGTCGATATTGGGAAAAAAAAAAAAATTCACCTTATGATAAACAATTACATAACAAAAATAAATTTAATTCAAAAACATATTCAATTGTTAAAGAATTAATATTTAATTCATATATCATCACATTACTTCTATAATATAGAAAAATTCTTAAATCATCATATAGAACAAAAATTACAATAAGCATGACTATAGTTAACATCATAATTAAGATTTTTTTGACTTTGGCTTATGCTAATGGACTAATAGACCAATGACCAATAGATTATAATATTGGTCTATTGAGTTCTATTAACAAACTTATTTTCAATAGACATAGTTCATTGCCAATCCTAAACAGAGCTTAGGCAGACAGTCTATAGACATATACCAATTTATATGATTTTGCATGTATCTATTATAAATCTAAAAACCTGTTATATACTAATATACTTACTCTAAAGTTAGATATATGCAATTGGTATGTGTTTATAGACTTTCTGTGGCTTAGAATTAATTTTTCGAATATGTGATATCTTTAGAAAATTTAAAATTTTGTTTATACTAAAGTTTTGGTTTAATAGAGATTTATTTTAGAGTTATAAAGCTGTTTTAATAGTAAAATCATACAAGAAAAATTTTTATTAAAAATACAAAAGATAGTTAATTAGATAAAATTTTATAATATTTTCAATTTCTCTAAAAGGATATTTGTTTTGATTTTTTTTATATTACATTTGATTGTAACTTCTTATTAGTTAATTTTGGCTCAAAAAATCATATATGGTTGCTTTTCAATAGAAAAGAGAGAAAAAGTTTTTAGTAACTTTTTTTTAAAATTTAAATTAAAATATTTCAATAATTACTAAATTAAATATAATAATTTTTTTTTTTTTAGTTTTATAATTTTATAGAATTAAAATAAAAAAAAATTATTAAATTTAGTTTAATAGTTGTTGAGATATTTTAATTTAAAGTTTAAAAAATTTTTACTTAGAAGAAATCTCTTCTCTTTCTATTAAAAACTCCCATATTCAAAAAATTGATTCTATATCTTGGTGTTGTTGATACTGTTTTTGCTAAACATAATTGTAGTTTATAATATTAGAAAATAAAATTATTACAAACTAGCTAACTAGACTAATTAATACTTAACTACAACTATCTAATACAAATACTTTATTATAGTTAAACCTCTATAAATACAATGTGTACAGACCAGCCTAAAATATTCATTTAGGGAGGTTTGTATTTAAAGAGAGCCAATCAAATTGCAGCTTTTAATATTTGATTTGCAGACTTGTATAACAAACTTAAATACTGACTTCTGATTGGCTACGTGCACTTAGGGAGGTTAGTATAATATAAAAAATCTTTTGAGTGAACGTGCATTTGCAGAATATAGAATGTATATTTAGCACTAATGATTTTATACAGCCAAGACAAAAATGTATATTTAGGGAGATATTGTATTTATAAAGGTTGCATTTAGGGAGGTCTGACTGTATTTAATACTGGATACTATAAAACCAAATCCAAACTTTAGTTAATTATATATAACAATAATAAAAACATAATTTTTAAAAAAAAACAAAAAAAGAAATATAGTGACTTAGTAAAGTGGTTAAGTTGTTATACTCTAAGCAATATATTAGCTAGATAGAGATTTAAAACCTACTAATGATGAATTTTGAATATTCTACTTGTATAACAGCTATTGTTTTTTAACAATCAGTTGAAACAGGATCTCTATAACTTTAGTGGCATCAACAAAATTGAGAGATCATAGAATATTAATACAATATATAAATTATATGAATAAGTTCTATAATCATATTAATTTAAGAAACCAGAAAGATGAATGTTTGCTTAGCAAGACTTGAGTAGAGAAGTAGCACAGATCTTTGACAATATTATATAAAAGATTATCATTAGAAAAACTTGCAAAAACTAAATAGAACTAGGTATATAGCAAAGCATTTCACCAACCAGATTGCTAGAGCTAGAAAAAAAAGATTTGCTTAAGTACAGATATTAGAAAACTAGTAACTTGCAGATAAAAGTTCTTTCTGAGCTATTTGAATTGATAGTTTAGAATAGTCAAATCAAACTGAAAAAACTGAATAAGATTAAGTATATGAAAAGGCACTCTACCAATCAGGCTATCAAAACCAGAGAACAAGGATCTGCTTAATTGCAAATATCAGAGAACTAAAGCTATGATCTAATATCTCTTTAAAACTATCAGAATTAGTAGTTTAGGATTGTTAGTATACTATTAATAGTTTGTAAAGTATGTGCTGAAATTTGGATAAACTTTACAAAAGCAGAAATAAGTAATAGTATTAGTTTTAGATCACAAATACCTATTTTTCGGACTTGACATAAGCTATTGAAGAATAAATTAGCTAGATTATGAATATAGAAAGCTCCAGCAAGTTTATTACAAAAATAAACTAGTTCTAAGAAGTCTTAGTAGCAGTTAAGTAATAGTGAAAATAATATAATAGTATAAAGTCAATCAAAGAGTTTAAATAGAGGATCTACAAGCAGATCTTAGATATAGTAATTGGTAGATAACTATAGATAGAAATAGATATAATAGAACCCTTAAATAGACAATAACTAAAGTTATATATATAATTAATTATACTTTTATTGATATAACAAAATCAAATAAGATTAATTAGACCAAGCTAGTATTTGATCCAATTTGTAAATAATAAACATACCAAACCCCTAAGTAGTCATCTTAATATTAAAAAAAAAAAAAAACCCCCAAAAAATACTATTACTATAATAATTTAATATATATTATATATTATATTGACAAATTGAATTTAACTATTCTTATATTAACTTTTATTTACTCCCAGTATATAACTGTAAACTATATACAAAATATTTATTTTTTTGTTTTAGCAATCCTTCTTTTATTATTTAAATTAGTATAGAATACAACAAATATACAAATATACAAATAGTAGCTAATCTATATTATAAACTATATATGCTTATACTAATAAAGAATTATTTGGCTATTAAAACAAGAATCTAAAAGATTCTGCAAAAAAAACTCAGATATAACTTATCTAAGTAGCCTATTTACTTCATCCAGAATTCTTAACTTATTAAGAATTTAAAACCCTAAAAGTTTATAGTAAGCAGCTACTTACCTTATCAAGATTACTACTCTATATAATATATTACTAATCTAAAATAATATTTTCTAGCAAAAATCTCAAAAAACAAAATAAAATAAGAAAAAATATAAGAAAAGAAATATTTTAAAATAAAACAAATAAGAAAACAACTAAACTAATAAAAGAAATTTAAAGTACACAATTATACAACTTTTCTCAATAATTACTTGTACTAACTAGTCTTTAAAAGCAAGTTGAAGACTCAAGACCAAAAATAAACAAATAATTTGAAGTTTTTTTAATACAAACTGTTGTTGACGAAACTTTAAATATGATATACTAAGAAGAGAGTATTTCAGACAGTTTGCAAAAAAGTCAAGCTTTGTTCTTTTGTTTCTTTTTTTAGATAGACTTCTTTTTGTATTCAGCATTCAAACTAGAGAAGTCTCTAGAAACAGTAAGTAAAAAGAAGACTTAAGTTATTTTGAAAACAGAAGACTATAAAGAACTTGTAGAACAATACTCTTTAGTTAAAAAACTCACAAAACTACAATATTTTTTCACTACTCTTTTTTTCATAATTTTTATCAAAAAGTATAGGATTTGGCTACTCTTCTCCAAAAGATTGGTATTGTTTATCACTTCTATTTTCAGAAAGTCTTAAGTTATAATATGACAAATAAGAAATATAACAATCATATATGAGAAGAAAGTTTTATTTTGGTTAAATTGAAATACATAATGAAAGGTTTATGTGCAAATTAAATTTTAATAAACCAAGATCTGAAGTGAAGACTATAAATAGTCTGGCTTGAAAAGAGCAGTCTTGAAATCAATAATCACATAATAAGGATTTAAAATTAGTATTCTAAGATTTGAAATAAAATTAAACAAGAGTTGTAAACTGGAACAATATATTAAAGATATGCAGTATTCTGAAGTTATATATATATAATTTTTAGCTCTTAGTATAGGTTAAAATACATTTTAGTTCAGTTTTTTTTTGTCATATAGCTCTATATATAGATCTCTACGATCATGTAAATAGTTTTTTATCTAGTTAGTGGGTTTTTATATCTATAAACACTTCTTTTAGATTTTAGAATAGATTTTTTTTAGATTTCTTTGTATTTTGGTCATTTTTATATATATATATTTTTTTTTTGGTGTTAAGGTGACTTTTTTGGTCAATATTTTTATTTATATTTAACAAGTTATTTTTACAGTATCAGCCCTGCATCAACTGTATATATATTTTTATATACATAACCTCAAACTAATATTTATTATGACTTTAAAACAATTTTATTCTTAGGATAAACCTGCTAGAGTTTTCCATATCCACAATTTAGCTAACCAAGACTTTGGTAATTTACGTCAAGTTCGAGGACAAGTACTTACGAGCCAAAGCCGCTACTATTACCTACTTCTGCCCTTGTAAAATTCACTCAAACCCAGTATACACTTTACAAACTATCACTGATTTTAATTCTAATAATCTCAAACTACCAATTCAGATAGCCTGGAAAGACTGTAATCTGCTCCTGGTCCCTACAGTTAGGTCTTTTTTCACTGGTTTTCTCTAACAGTCTGGTTGGTGAAGTGCCTTGCCAAACACTTCAGTCCTGTTCAGTTTTGTCAGTTTTTCCAATAATGATCCTTTACATAGTACTGTCAAAAATCTGTATTACCTTTCTATTTAGGTTTTGCCAAGTAAGTATCTATCGTCCTTCCTGGTTCTTTAGATCAATATGATTTGAAAGCTTATTTGTATAACTCATATATCACACAAATAGCTTATAATCTCCTAATCTTGTTAGCATCACCAAGGTTACAGAGATTTTTCAACTGATTAATTAATAGATAACAATAGCTATGATACAAATAGAATTTTTGAAATTCATTATCAGTAGGTTTTGAACTCCCTATCTAACCAATATATCACTTGGGAGTATAACAATTTGATCACTTCACTAAGTCACCACACCCTTATATATTTGTTTTTTACTTTTCCTATTTTTGTTTATTTTTATCTTTTTTTTTTTTTTTTTTACTTCTCTATAAG